AGCTCAAAGTGTACATGATGGAGCCTGAGTTTTGGGGATTTTTTTATGGCTCGGAATCGAAACCCCTTGCGGATGCTCCATCCGGGGAACACCAGGCATGGGTGCAGAAGGACAAAAAGGTTTTTGCCTTCCTCGTATCCAAGCTTGGTCTTCAACTCGTACCCAACGTGAGTTCGTGCATCGATCGCGAAGGTGCGACTCGTGAAGCGTGGAAGCGTATGAGGACGTGCACATCACGAAGTCCCTTCGTGGCAAGCTTCGGGTGTGTTGCAAACTCTTCACGGTGCGGATGTGGGACGGTGAGACGATGCGCGCGTATGTGAATTGGGCGGAGGAGCTTGGCGAGCGCATTGTCGAGCTGGACATGGGCATAGACAAAAACGATTGGATCATGACTCTCCTCTCGGGCCTCGGTAAAGAATGGTCAAGCATCATCACAACTTTGGATGCTGTTCAAGCTTCTTGGAAGAAGGAAGACGTGGTGTCATGCCTCATCAATGAAGAGACGATGCTCAACCGCATGCATGGCGATGCAATCCGCTCGGCGCGCTTCTCTCGGGATACGAAGGCGAGAGGATCGGGTAACTTCAAGCGGCGCACTGATGGTATCTCCCGCGGCAACTCGAACGGCAGTGTGGCGGCCTCAACCCCGTCAAGCGGAGGACCGGCCAACGCGAATCAAGGACGGGCTTGCGATGGAACATGCCTTTTTTGCAAGAAGCCCGGTCATTGGTGGTCAGAATGTCCCGTAAAACCGGCAAATTGGAGACCGCCATCGATGAATCATGGCAACCGGCGTGCGCATGTGGCGACGTGTGACGACACCGATCATGATTTCGTGTTTGTGGCGGGCGACACAACCATTGGAGGAAGTGATGCATGGATCATTGACACGGGCGCCACGCAACACATGACAGCATTTGCGGAGCTTCTCAACGACGTGTCCTTGAATACACCAATCAAGCGCGTTGTGTTCGGCAACCGCGACTCGTTGAACATCACGGGTTGCGGCAACTTGCAGCTTGCGGTGGGCGGCGGCTCTCTCACCATAAAAAACGTCTTGGTGGTTCCCGGGCTCGGCGCGAACTTATATCCGTCTCCCAATTGACACGCAAGGGGATGCGTGTGAGCATCGAAGGGATGGCGATGGAGCTTAGTTCAGCGCATGGGCGGCACATCGGCACGGCACGGCAAGTCGGAGGGATCTACAAGCTTGAGGCCCTTCCGGTTGTTGCATCGGCACAAGCGGCTACGACAATAACCTCACTCTCCACTGGTCATGCCGATCCCTCGACAATCCATGCCATGGCAACCAAAGGCGTGGTGCATGGCTTGCGTCTTGGGCATTCTGGTGACAAGGATGACAAGTGCCCCGCTTGCCTTGAGGGGAAGATGGCATGAAAGACCTTCCCGCCTCGTACCACTCCGCTCGCCGACACGCCCCTCGCCCTTGTGCACACGGACTTGTGTGGGCCTATCACTCTCGTGTCCAAGGGTGGCACACGTTACATCCTCACCTTCCTCGATGACGCAACCCGCATGTGTTGGATTCGGCTTCTCAAGGACAAGAGCACCACCACTTTGATGATCAAAGAATGGGTGGCGGATGTGGAGACGCAATCCGGTCACAAGGTGAAGCGGTTTTGCTCGGACGGCGGTGAGGAACATACGGCTCGGGAGCTCGGTGATTGGTTGAAATTACGAGGGATCGCCCACAACTACTCGACGCCATACTCACCCCAAAAAAACGGAGCGGTCGAGCGGTTGAACCAGACGTTGATGGAGTTGGCACGAAGCATGCTCTCCCATGCTCATGCGAAGAAGGCTTGGTGGGGTGAGGCGGTAACCTTGGCGACTTGGGTTCGAAACTAGCGTGTCACCAAAGCATTACCTAACACGACGCCCCTTGAGGCTTGGAGCGGGACAAAGCCGGACGTCTCCAACCTCCGCACCTTTGGGTGCTTGTGGTACTATCATGTTCCCGACGTTACTCGCACCAAGCTTGAAGTCAAGGCGCGGACGGCAATGTTCTTGGACCATGGCGCGGACCACAAGGGATGGCATGTGTGGGACTTGGAGCAGAAGCACCTCGTGGTCTCTCGAGATGTGGTGTGCTATGAGGACCACTTCCGTTCCAAGTCCACGGGAGCACCACCCATCCTTGTGATTTCCCCACCCTTGGAGTCGACGGATGCGGTCGAAGTGGCGGATGCGGCGACCGAGATGGATACCCCTCGAGCCCGAATGAGGGGGGGAAGGATGATGCAGTGGTTAGAGTGAATGGAGATGAAGAAACCGCCACGCATATCAATTCTTCACCTTCTCCTCCCAAGATCACTCCGACCCTTACCTCCACTCGTACTCATCGTGCGCCTCATCCTAACCCCAAGTTCAACGTCTCTCTCATGGTGGAGGAAGATGAGGAAGGGGGAGACGCATGGTGCCTTGAGGCACACCACTTCACCCCTTCCACCTACCGTGATGCCGTCAACTCTTTGGAAGCCGCGGAGTGGGAGATGGCATGTCAGGAGGAGTATGAATCGCTCATGGTCAATGAGGTCTATGAGCTTGTCCCGAAACCTCCCAGAGCCTACCTTGTTGACTCTCATTGGGTGTTCAAGATGAAGCTTGGACCCAACGGTGAGGTGGAGCGGTACAAGGCACGATTGGTAGCGCAAGGCTACACTCAAAAAGAAGGTCTCCACTACAACGAAACCTTCGCTCCCGTTGCCAAGTCCACTACCTTGCGTACTCTCTTGGCCTTAGCGGGAGGCCTCAACTTGGAGGTTGAACAACTCGATGTCAAGATGGCATTTCCCTATTGCCGTCTTGAGGAAGAGGTGTACATGCGGCAACCTCCCGGCTTCAACGACGGCACATCTGGGTGTGCAAGCTCAAGCGGACCATCTATGGCCTCAAGCAAAGTTCTCGGGCTTGGTACATGAGGATGGATGGTCACTTGCTCACCATGAGGTTTGAGAGGAGCGAGTGTGACCACGCACTTTATATTCTCAACAAGGGGGGGGGAAGAAGCTCGTGCTTCTTCTCTACGTCGACGATCTCCTTATTATCTCGGATTGCAAGTCCCTAGTAGCAGATGTGAAGACCAAGCTTGCGGCCGAGTTCTCCATGCGTGACCTCGGCACGGTCTCCTACTACCTCGGGATGCACGTCGATCGAGATCGTGGGAACAAGTCCCTTCACCTCTACCAACACAACTACCTAGAGAGTATGGTGGACCGATTCGGCATGGTTGAGAGCAAGCCCACGCCGACGCCCATGAAAGCGGGGTTTCATCCCTTGGCCGTGAGCGATGAGAACCCCATGGACCCCGAGAGCGCCAAGATATCTCACTCGGTGGTAGGGTCGTGCATGTATGCCGCCGTAAGCACATGACCCGACCTCTCCTTTCTCGTGGGGGTGCTAGGATGCGTTGTCTCCAACCCCATGGTCGAGCATGTGCGAGCGTCTCATCGTCTCCTTCGGTACATCAACGGCACTACTCGAATCGGATTGCAGTATGAAGCAGGACCGGTGGTGTTGCAAGGCTACACGGATGCGGATTGGGCGGGAGATCCATCAACGCGCCAAAGCATGTATAAATACATTTTCACCCTCTTTGGAGGTGCAATGAGTTGGAAAAGCAAGCGCCAAACTTGATTGCACTAAGCTCCACCGAGGCCGAATACGTGGCTCTTACACGTGGTGGTACGGAAGCGGTTTGGTTGAGGCGTCTTCTTGCCGAGCTTGGCAGCTTGGTTGTCCCGGGGATTTTCTCACTAAGCCCTTGCCTAGAGATGCTCTTCTAGTTTGTTGTGCTAGGGTAGGCTTGCATGCTTAAGTGAGCGTGGGGTGCAAGGGGGAGTGTTGGAATTGTGGGGGAGGTTTTGCCCCCCACGCCAAGGACCTCCCTTGAATTGGACCAAGGGAGGTGAGTTGCAAGGAAGGAGTGGCTACGGAGGATTTGTCCGCGTCGCCACACAACCAAATTTCCTCTTGGTTGGTCCGAAATGTTTTGAGGGCGCCACTTGGCAGCCCCTCAAGCATTGGCGAAAATGAATGGGGTGTAGCGAAAGTTGGAAAACTTTCGCTATACACTCACTTTCGCAAAGTTGGAAAAGTCAACGCATGACGCGATTGACTTGGACCAAGTCCACGTTCCGACTTGGAATCAAGCCGCGGACTAAAAAAAAATTAGACGCAACCCCAAAGTCTGATTTATTTTTTCGAGTCGCGCGCGCTCCGATGTGGCAATTACTCACTTGTTTGCTTGTTTAAAATCCAGAGGGGAAAAACTGTGTGGTCATTCCATTGAGTATCTTGCACCCACCTCTATATTATTGACTGGTTCTTCCTTCTTAAAACCCGCATCCCAATTTGTTCAAACGCACTGCGTACCGTATGAACTTTGATCCTCGGTTTGTACGAAATACGCTGGAAATCGCACGGGCGTTTAGTCTCGCAAATTGAACGCTTGTCGTGAACCGTCAAATTTGCAAACACACAGTTTGATGGATGAGATTACTTTTCGGCTGCTTACGCGCCGTCAGATGAAAATCTGTAAAAACTGGACGGTCGAAAGAGGCTCAGCACCTGGTGTTCCAAATTACCTTCCGCACTCAACTTGAAAGGCATCCCTGAGTGACGAGAGTCTCGTTACTCCCCAATACACCCTGCGAAAACGCCACGTTCAAACGCACTGCGTTTGAAGGCCGCGCCTCGCAATTTGGGCCGCGGGTTTTAAGCTATCAGGCTAGTTCCAAGTGCTACGTGTGCGCCATTCCGAGGCCGTTACTTTGATCCCACTCACGCCTCCTAAGACGCCGACCTCTGGTTGTGGCGTCGCTTACTACAGGGCGGTTTAGAAATATTTCAGTGAACTTGTTGAAATTGAACTCCAGAATTTTGAGATGAACATACACCAAATCTGGCTATACATGTATGTGCAAATTCACCACAAGATCATAGCAACTTTCAGCCTCCACCAAGCACTACTAGCCGCCCGGGAGCGCTCCTCGCTCCGCTCTAAGCACCGGGGACGAAGTTCTGCGCGTAGGCCCAGGCGTTGTTGGCGGCGGGGTCGGCGAGGTGGTCCGCGAGGTTCTCGAGGGGCCCCTTGCCGGTGACGATGGCCTGCACGAAGAAGCCCAGCACCGACACCTGCGCCAGCCGCCCGTTCTTCAGCTCCTTCACCTTCAGTTCCGCAAACGCCTTGGGGTCGTCCGCCAACCCCAGTGGATCGAACGCTCCGCCCGGGTAGATCGGGTCGTCCACCTCCTGGAATCCCTCCAGCCCGCCCACGCGGTAGCTCTCCACCAACCCTAGCAGCACCACCTGTAGGAGGCCGTCGGGTTACCACGTTGCAACCATGAATTTGCGTCAGGGTCGTGCGTTTTTTGTTATTTTATTCTCGCAGTGGACAACGCGAGGCAGAAAATGGAATGCATTGACTTGGAAAATACGATCTCATTCAACGCACCTAGACGGAAAAATAATAAAAAACGGCCTACCTTGGCGTTTGGACGCACTGGAAGGAGAGTGTGGCGAGGATGGTGAGCTGACCTGGACGGCGAGCGTGGCAAGGATGCTCTGCGCGTGGATGAGGCTGGGGTTGCCCAGATAGTTGAGCCCGCCCTAAAGGCGCGCCCACCTTGAACCACACTGCCTCACCCAGCGGCACGCCGTTGCGCGCCAGAAACTCGGGGAACACGATGCCAAGCGCGCCGAGCAGGGCCCAGCGCGAGTGAATCACCTCCAGCTCGCGGTTCTTCGCGAACGTCTCTGGGTCCGCCGACAGACCCGCCGTGTCCCACCCGTAGTCGCCGGGGTACTCGCCTTTCAGGTACGAGGGAGGCGAGGAGAAGGGGCCCAGGAACAAGTTGCAATCGGGGCCGTACCATCGTCACGCGACACTCCACGTTGTTCACCTTCGTGGCGAGCTCGGCGCTCGAGGCGACGAAGGCGGAAGCGGCAGAAGCCGCGGTGGTGGAGGAGAGAGCAGCCATACTTGAAGCCTAGGGTGAGCGGGCTGGCTGCAGGTAAGTATGGGAGTGCTAGTGACAGGCTCGGTGAGTTCTGAAGATTAGTGGGAGCCATTTATGTTTGAGAAATTGATATTCAAATTCTGGGGACAGCGAGGCGCGGGGTCGTTGCGAAGATGAAAATGGGTAGATGCAAAGTTCCGTGGCGACGCCGTTCGTGACATATGCCAGACATACAGATGCACGACAGGTCAGCCTTTTGGAATCTGCGAAATGTCGGTTCCCGAATTCTTTGAATCGGGTCGCGTAAATTTGCCATCCAGCGAATTTGGTCGTGTGGATTCAACTTTGTCCAGGTTGACAAACTGCTGCAATACAAGCTTCCTCGAATTTGACACACAATTGCTACTATTGGGTGACTCAAATATCGGGGTGCTTACGTCGCTATTGTGTTTGTGGTAGTCATATCACTGGTAACCAGCGAGATGCCATCGTAAAGGGCCGATCTGGGATCTCCAGACGCCATAGTTGACCTAAAATTAGTGACCTCGCGAAAATAGTGGATGCAGATAGGAAGAGGTCAGTGACAGGTTGTGTTCGATTTCTACAGTCTTGCCACGTGAACTGAAACCTAATCTGGGCCTTGCAACTCGAAGCATTCGGGTACGAGTCCTCCTTCCATCACATTCGGCGTTCGTTTCAACAAGTTTCCGCTCGCCACCTGGCTGTTGTTTTACTTCACCGCTTGGTAGCTAACCCGTCACGGTGGGCGCTGGTAATGGCATACGAGATTAGAGACCCTGTTGCATGTCTAGCGCATCGCGGCAAGCGATTAGACGACACTTCAGAAGCACGACGCATCTCCTAGGGCAGCTCGGGACAGGAAAGCCGTGACGGGCTGGTGGAAATTTTATCGCAGGCGAAATACCATTAGCTGGGCGAAGATCAAGGGGGTCTGACGGACGACGTAGAATTCAGTAGGGAGTGAAAGGCATATGAATTACCTTGCAAGGTGATTACCATGTGGATCAAATAACCTCTCTCAGGGAAAGTGATCGTTCTAGAGGGACGCAGTACGATGTCGGATACCTTGTTAAAGGCTTTAAGAGCATCATCTAGTGACCGAAGTCGCATGGATCTGATGCTGCTGTATGAGCTCGTCTATGCCGTCAGTGGTCCCCACCACCGACTGGGACTGCTCCCCGTTGCCCCCCTCACCTCCCCTCCCCTCTTCCTTTCTCCCCTCCCCACCCCCCCTCTTCCCCCCCCCTCCTCCCCCCCCACCACCCCCCGGCCCACCCGTCCACAAACGGCTCATGCACAAGCGCAATCCTCTCTCCTAAAATCCCTAAGGGCGCGGTACGTTACCCTCAGGATCTAAGCTAGATGCAGTCACGGTCGACCATTGGAAGGACTAGAGTAGGCACGGCTGTGATACGGTGTGGTTTCATTTGGTGGAGGGCGTATCTTTGCCATAAAAATGTTGATCCACCTCTCCTCCAAACCAACTACCGTATCTCCCCTCAACTGTCATAATTCTTCCTTCCTGCAGCCCTAACCATCTTTCCACTTCAATACGAATCCTTCGCTATGCTCCCAAGAGCTTGGACCAACACCATCATCCTTCGCTTGCTCCTTTCGCTACTCTTCCTTTGCTACAGCACCCCTTCACTCTGTCCCGTCGCATCGCTTCGCCATGTCAGCAACCCGTCCCATCCCACCGCCTTGATGCTCACCCCGTGCTGTCACTCTCATCGCTATTAGTACTCACCCAATTGATGAATCCAATTCAACAATTTCAGACATTTGCAAATTCCAACCATCACATGCTACAAACACCATGCTTGGACCTTGTGCCAGTGAGTGCTCTATTTTGGCTGCTGATGAGTGCGCGACATCCCACTGAGCAATAATTGATGGAAATATCAGAAATCGCTCAAGCATGGTGCAGCAAGTGTGGCCTTTTCTCCTAAGTTCAATACACAATGCCCAAACCATCAAAGTGGACGGAAGTGTCAAACATGTGTATCTGTTATGTTTGCATAGACTGTATCGGGTCACCTCTTAGAGGGTACAATACTTAGGTATATCCATCTGTACTCTCATTCTAATTCATTACTTCTCTCATTCTGATATGGTATCACGCGTAGGTTAGGATCCCCCACCTACCGCTTCCGCTTGTCACCTAGCTAGGCCCCGCCGCGCCTCCCCCCTGGGCCCCGTCGTGCCCCCTCGCCTAGCCCCGTCGCGACCCCCCCCTGGGCCCCGACGTGCCCCTAGCCCTGCCGCGCCCCTCCTGGGCCCTGTCGCGACCCCCTAGCCCCGTCGCGACCCCCTAGCTCCGTCGCGACCCCCCTAGGCCCCGTCGTGCCCCTAGCCCTGCCGCGCCCCTCCTGGGCCCCGTCGCGACCCCCTAGCCCCATCGCAACCCCCTGGGCCCCGTCGCGACACCCCTAGCCCCGTCGCGACCCCCCTGGGCCCCGTCGTGCCCTTAGCCCTGCCGCGCCCCTCCTGGGCCGCGTCGCAACCCCCTAGCCCCGTCGCGACCCTCCCGGGCCTCGCTACGCCCCTCGCCCTGTAGCGCCCCTCCTGGGCCCCGTAGCGCCCCTCCTGGGCCCTGTCTCGCCTGCAGGCCCCGTCGCGCCCGCCCGGCCCCGTCGCACCCGCCCGGCCCCGTCGCACCCGCCCGGCCCCGTCGCACCTGCTCGGCCCCGTTGCGCCCTGCCCGGCCTCGTCGCGCCCGGCCGGCCCCGTCGCACCCGCCCGGCCCCGTCGCACCCGCCCGGCCCCGTCGCACCCGCCCGGCCCCTTTGCGCCCGGCCCGGCCCCGTTGCGCCCGCCCGGCCCCGTCGCACCCGCCCGGCCCCGTCGCACCCGCCCGGCCCTGTCGCACTCGCCCGGCCCCGTTGCGCCCTTCCCGGCCCCGTCGCGCCCGCTCGGCCAAGTCGCGCTCTCCGGGCCCTGTTGCGCCCTGCCCCAGCCCTTGCATCCTCACTGGTACGGTTCCCCCCCTCCCTGCACCGCCCCTCACCGCACTGCACTGCACTGCATCGCACTGAACCACCCTGCACCGCCCTGCACCGCACTGCACCGCCCTGCACCGCACTTCACTGCCCTGCACCGCCCTGCACCGCCCTGCACTGCACTGCACTGCCCTGCATCGCACTGCCTTGCCTTGCACCGCCCGGCACCGCACTGCACTGCCCTGCTCTGCACTGCACCACACTGCACCGCACTGTACAGTCCTGCACTGCACCTGATGGCGGCAGAGCTTCGCTTCGACGCTGAAGACCAGCCTCTGGAGTTCGAGGCGTGGCTTGCCGACCTCCGGCGCCAACTCACTGGCCAGCGGCAAGATGGTGAACCGCTTTCCGCACACCTTGACGGTACGCTCCCTTGCCCAGACCCCCCTGCTGTTCTGCCCGCTAACTCCGCACCCACTGAGCGCGAGTCTACTGCTGCCACTGCCCGTGCGCGCTCTGTCTGGCTTTCTCGAGATGCTGTCGCTCAGCTTGCCATTAGCAATGCCCTTCCCCCGTCCGAGCGCCCCCGCTTTAGGTCCCTCACTACTGCCCAGGCTTACTTAGATGCTGTCATCAAGTGCTATTCCACCCCTCCAGCCGCCTTGGTGGGTCGCTTGATCCTCCCGATGCTCTTTCCTGACCTTGCGTCTTTCCCCACTGTCTCTGACCTCGCTGCCCACCTGCGCTCGATAGATGAGACCTGGCGCGCTACCTGCACTGACGCACAGCTTAGAGCCCACCAGCCGCCCATTACCTCTACCCTTTACCTGCTTGCCACCCGCCTCCCTGACCGCCTTGCTGTCGCCCGCGACCGCTTCCTTAGAATTCACCCCGCGGACCTCACCCTCACTGACTTTGTAGACACCCTGACTGTGATTGAGACCCGCCACCGCTCCATCGCCCAGGCGAGCGGTACCGTGCCGGTCCCTATCTTTCAGGGTTGTGCCCCCGCTCAGTGTACCTTCTCCGACGGCTCTGCTGCTGTGGCTGAGACTGCTGCTGCAGCGCAGTTTCGTTCGGGGAAGGGCCGCCGCCCCAAGGTTGGGCGCGGCGGAGGAGGCGGGGGTGCGGGAGGGGGTGGTGGTGGATTCGGGTCGTCTGGTGCTGGAGCGGACGAGGGGACCCTGCCCAGTCCAGCTGAGCTGCCGCCCCTGCAGTCGCAGCAGCAGCAGCAGCCTCAGCAGCCGCAGCAGTCTTAGCAGCCGCAGCCTTTGCAGCAGCCGCCGCAGACGCGGCAGACGAGTGTCCTCCCGCCCGGGTGGCCCGGCGCTGGCGGTGGTCGGGCGCGTGGTGGTGTGCCGAGTGGTGGTTCTGGAGGCGTGCGTTGTCAGTACCAGATCCAGACCGGTCCTCGCCGCGGCTTCGTTTGCGGTAAGATCGGTCACTCCACTCCCCGCTGTTTTCGTCGCCTGGACGACATGTTTCGTCAGCGCTTCGGCCCGTCGCCAGACCTCCCGGACTTGCACAGTTTGCTTAGTCGTCAGATCCAAATTATTGACATGGACATGGATGCCATTATTTCTGCTCTGCATGTGATGTATGCTGATGACTCTAGTGTGCTTCCCGCTTATTACTCATTGTCGTCTAGTGTAGGTGTGCCTAGCTTAGCCTCCCCTGCTGCGTCAGGCGTAGGAGCCCCTGCTTTGTTTAGCCTTGGTGCTTCCGCCGTCGCCCCGTCGCCGGACACCACTGCTTCGCTTTCCTACACCCTGGACTCTGGCGCTTCCCGGTGTTTCTTCCGCGACTTCACCACACTGACGCCGCTTCCTGTTCCTGCTGCCGTTTCTCTTGCTGACCCCTCCGGCGGTCCGGTAGTCGCCCGTAGTTCCACCACCCTTCCCTGTCCGGCGGTTCCTTCAGGCACTCTCACAGGACTGCATATCCCCTCGTTCTCAAGGAACCTAGTTGGTGTCGGCTGCCTCCAGGACCTTGGCGTCACCACTGCGTTCCCTGGTCACGAGCGGTATGTTGTCTGTACCGAGGCCGCCACTGGTGCCCCCCTGTCCACGTTCCCCCGGGACCCGGTGTCCGGCCTGTTCACTCTGGACATCGTGACCCCCCCGGCTGGAGCGCTCCCTCAGGTGGCTGCGTCTACCCAGGTTGCTGCCGCCTGCTCCTGTCGGTCCCTCACTCACCCGACTCTCCTTTGGCACCACCGCCTCGTTCACCCTGCGCTCCCGCGTCTGCGTCACATGTCCCAGCACGGTCTTGTCCTTGGTCTCCAAGGTTCTCTCCCCGCGTTTCCCTCCTCCCCAGCCCCACCTTCCACGCCTTGTGTCGAGGGTCGGCTTCGCCGTGCCCCTCACTCCTCCTCGTTTCCCCCTACCGCCGCGCCGCTGCAGACCCTGCACCTGGACGTCTGGGGCCCCGCCCCAGTCCCTGGGCCGCGTCGCGAGCGCTACTTCCTTGTGCTTGTCGACGAATTTACTTGTTACACCACAGTCTTTCCTCTGGAGCGCAAGGCCGACGTGCCTGGCGCTCTCATCCCCTGGCTTGTCTCTGCGCGTGTCAACCGCGGTCTCCCTGTCTTGCGTCTTCACTCCGACCGTGGTGGCGAGTTTGCCTTAGGTGTCCTTGGTCGCTTTTGTTGTGCGGAGGGCATCACCCAGACGTTCACCCTACCGGACTCCCCACAGCAGAATGGGGTCGCTGAGCGACGCATGGGTTTGGTCATGGAGGTGGCTCGCACCTCCATGATCCATGCCGGTGCACCCCATTTTCTGTGGCCGTTCGCTGTGCGCTACGCTTCTCACCAGCTTAACTTGTGGCCGCACCCTCAGCAGCCGCAGGTTTCGCCGACTCGTCTTTGGACTGGGTCTCCGGGTGACGCGTCTGCGTTCCACGTCTGGGGCTGCCTTGCTCACGTCCGTGCCTCCAGCATGGACAAGCTCACTGCCCGCACCCTCCCCTGCGTCTTTTTCGGTTTTCCCCTTGACGCGTCCGACTGGCACTTTTACCACCCGCCGTCTCACCGCTTCTTTCACTCTCGCGACGTCACCTTTGACGAATCCGTCTCCTACTACCGTAGCTTCCCCTACCGCGGTCCCCCGGTTACCCCCTCCCTGTTCCTGGTCACTCCTTCCCCGGTAGTCCCTGCCCCCCCCCCTCCTCCTCCTCGTCCTGCCCCCTCTGGTCTGTCCCACGTCACCCCCCTTCCGTCGGTGGACCCGGTTGAGGAGTCTTCTGACTCTGGTGGCCCTGCTGCGCAGTCCTTGCTGGCCGCCCCTCCCCCGGCGTCCCCTCCCTAGTCCCCTCCTCCACCGCCTTCGCCGGCGCTGCAGCCGTCGTTGTCGCTGCCGCCGCCGCCGCCGTCGCAGCACCCGTTCGTTGACTCTGGGGGTGCTAGTCCCGGTAGCCCCGGGGGTGGATCCTCTGGGGGTACTGGTGTGGAGTGTGCCGGTGGTAGCCGAGAAGCCGCTTGCAGTCCCGGTGTCGCCGTTGTGCCGCCACAGCAGCAGTCCTCGCCGGTGTCAGCCCTTCGCCTGCTTGGCCTTCCGTCCCCTGACCCTGCGGCTGTTCCTCTCTGCCCGTCTCCTCCTCTTCCCGTCTACGGCCCTATGTTCCCTCCGCCGGACTCGTCCCGAGCCCGTCTTCCTCCTCGTTCCCCTCCTGTGTCCCCTCCCCTGTCTCCTGACCCGACTCCTCCGTCGCACGTCTGGTCTCACCGTCCCTCCCGTGCTCGTCCTGCCTCGCCTGTCTTGCGCTCCCACCCTATGTTGCTTCGTTCCCACGCGTCTCGTCCTCCTCTTCTCCCGTCACCTCCTCCGTCCTCCCTTGTTGTTGCACCCCCCCCGCTGTCTGACTACGTTCGTGCCGCTCGTCCTCTTGTTCCTCGGGTCCTTGCCTCTCTCGTTACCGACCCGTCTGTTCCGGTCTCGTGCCTTGACGCTCTTGTTGCTGCGGTCGCTGACTTCGCCTCTACCCGCCGCCTTGACTATGCCACCGCTCTGGTCTCTGACCCTGCCTGTCCTCCGTCTGTCGGGGGTGCTCCTGCCCTTGGCATTGACGTCCTGGAGGACCGCCAGTTTGAGCTTGCTTTCCTGTCCGAGGCTGCTCCCCATCTCTGTTGCATGCTGCTAGTCCCTGAGGGTGACCCAGACGCTTTCGACATCCCGACCCCTCGCACTTACGCTGAGGCGACCTCGGGACATTGGGCCTCTCAGTGGATAGCTGCCATGGAGCAGGAGATGGCATCTTGGAGATCCACCGGCACCTTCGTCGACACAGTTCCCCCGCATGGGGTGAACGTAGTCGATGGCCGCTGGCTCTTCAAGGTGAAGCGCCCTCCTGGAGAGCCGTCTGTGTTCAAGGCGCGCTGTGTGGCTAGAGGCTTCAGTCAGTGCGAGGGGTTGGACTTCTTCCAGACCTTCGCTCCGACCCCGAAGATGACTACTCTTCGGGTTCTGTTACACCTAGCTGCTCAGCGTGACTACGAGCTTCACTCCCTCGACTTTTCCACTGCCTTCCTTCAGGGCAGCCTACACGAGCAGGTCTACTTGCGTCGCCCTCAGGGCTTTACTGGCACCTTCCCTCCTGGGACCCAGTGGCTCCTGCGGCGCCCCGTCTACGGCCTGCGCCAGGCTCCCCGTGAGTGGCACGACACTCTCCGTGCTACGCTTGCTGACCTGCAGTTCTTTCCGTCTTCCGCAGACCCCTCACTCTTTGTTCGTGCTGGCCAGACTCTGTTCTACATCCTTGTTTACGTCGACGACCTGGTCTTTGCCACAACAGACAGGGATGCACTAGCCTCCGTAAAGGCAGAGCTGCTGAAGAGACACACGTGCACTGACCTTGGAGAACTGCGCCGTTACCTTGGCTTGCAGATCTCCAAAGACAGAGCAGCGCGCACCATCACCCTGACTCAGTCACACTTGGTGCGCCAGGTCCTTCAGAGGTTCAGCCTTCAGTTCTCCTCTGCACAGCCCACCCCTCTGCCTGTAGACCACAGACTCTCGGCTCCAGTGTCTGAGGAGTTGGTAGAGCCCAGCGGCCCCTACGCAGAGCTGGTGGGTTGCCTCATGTACCTGATGACTTGCACTCGCCCATATCTCGCATACCCTCTCAGCATTGTGGCTCGCTTTGTGGCCACAGGCAGACACCGACCGCAGCACTGGTCTGCCGCTAAGAGGGTTTTGCGTTATCTTGCTAGTACATTGGGCATGGGGTTAGTGCTAGGAGGACGCAAGCCAGTGGTCCTGACTGGACACACAGACGCTTTGTGGGCAGATGACGCCGAGACACTCAGGTCTACCCAGGGCTACTGCTTCAGCCTTGGCTCAGGTGCCGTCTCGTGGAGGGCTACCCGCTCCTCGTCTGTTGCCCAGTCCAGCTGTGAGGCTGAGATCTACGCTGGTGCCATGGCGGCACAGGAGCTCCGCTGGCTGACCTTCTTGCTCACTGACTTAGGTGAGCGGCCTAGCTCTGCCCGGTCCTGTTCGCTGACAACAGGGCCATGATCCTCCTGTGTCAGGAGCCTCGACTCGAGGGCAGAGCGAAGCATATTCAGCTGCGATACTTCCTCCTGCGCGAGCTACAGCAGCGACGCGAGGCTCGCGTAGTACACTTGGCCTCAGGTGCCAACACAGCTGATATCTTTACGAAGGCGCTTGCGCCGAAAGATCATCAGCGGCACTGCGTACAGCTTGGTCTAGTTCCTGTAGCCTCTCACTTGCTAGGGCCTTGACTTTGTACTGTCCTTTATATTTATACTCAGACTGGACTTGTGTCCACTCCCAGTGGTTGGACTAGTAGTGCCGCCCTGTTCTTGTTCTTGCCTTGTCTCAACTCCTTATGACTGGTCTTTTAGACCCTTGTCTGAGAGGTTGGACTAGTAGTGCCGCCCTGAGCTGCTTGTTCAGGTCATTCCCCTATGCAGTCTAGGGGGTGTGTCAAACATGTGCATCTGTTATGTTTGCATAGACTGTATAGGGTCACCTCTTAGAGGGTACAATACTTAGGTATATCCATCTGTACTCTCACTCTAATTCATTACTTCTCTCATTCTGATAGGAAGTACAACAATAAAATGCAGAGCTGAGTAATGCGGCTGCTCTGCTTCCTCCATTGCTTGGTCATAAAAGTAAATCTGCTTGCTAAAACCCTCAGAACATAATGTTTCCATTCAGGGCATACCCTTATCTATGTCAACAAGGCATGTGACATAAACACCAACAGCTCCATCCTACTGCTGCTTCTGTTGGCGGACAATTTCGGCCAGGGCGCTCGTGCGAATGTCCACATTCTGGCCCAACCGAATGGTGTTGAAAAGGTTTTCTGGGAAGCGGTAGATGATTCCCCACATGACGCTAAGCAATGAAGCGGTAGATGATGCCCCACATGACCCCGTGCACCCAGTACGGCGTGCACCGCACCCCCTGCCACACCCAGTTGGCACCCATCCAGTTGGCCCCATGCCTGCCTTACACATTTCAGACAAGGGGCAGGTGTGGGAGATGTGACGGATCTATGGCATTAGGTTGCGACGAAGAGAGGGGCCTGCACGTGAGAAATAAAGGACAGGGAAATTGACCAGTGAGCATGGCAAATTGGAGGCCGAATCGGGGTGGCAAAAAAGAGACGAGCCCGCGGACATGGAATCATGGACATTGGAGATGAGATGGCCAAATTGACTTCTGAATCGACTCAAAAGTCAAAATGAGACGAGCCCGCGGACATGGAATCATGGGCATTGGAGATGAGATGGCCAAATTGACTTGTGAGTCGACTCAAAAGTCAAAAAGAGACGAGCCCGCAGACATGGAATCATGGACATTTGAGATGAGATGGCCAAATAAGGAGGGAAATGTGCATGGAACAAGGGGAGGCTGTGGTGAAAGAGCAGAACTAGTCAGCGCACGAGGGGTTGAAGGAGGCACAGATGAGGGGAATAAAAAATAAGGGACAGAGGGACAGAGGGACAGAGGGACAGAGGGACAGAGGGACAGAGGGACAGAATATGCAGTACAGATGGTTCACAAGATGATGAGCTGTGCAGGATGACGCAGACCACCGAATTGAGCTGCCGCATGAAGCACTGCGCACCCCAGTCTGACTGCTTGGGTCGGAGACAATTCACTCTAGGTGATACAGCTGATGTGACAAGAGGGATCAGAAAACCGCCGGTGTGTGCGATCACAGCAGACCAGCTTTCCCTGCTGCTAGCAGCCTGATTGAACAGACTACAGCAGGCAAGGCCAGTGGCGTGCTTCAGATTTAAAATAGTGTCCTCATCATGTCCCTCCTTCAATCACCAAATAGCGACTGTCTTGGTGTAATTCAAAAGCCTCAGGAATAGTACAGAAAAGAGAAAGATACTACTAGACTATTCGCAGAGTGATTCGCAATAATGGAACGCGCATTTGACTGGAACCGGGAGCCCGGACGCATATTCCATTCCAGGCAGGGCTCCCACCAGACTCGGGTTAGTTATCCTTTCAATTGCTGCACTTAACACAGCTCACCTGACCTGGATGTCGATCCCGTGGAGCAACTAGACTTTCAGACAACGTTTGACCCGTACTTTAAAAGCAATATGCTGTCATTTGCTGCATCTGGCATGGCTCACCTGAACCTGCACATCCATCCCCTTGGCTTGGATGCATCCTCCATGTTGATGCTGCGAGAGAACTGGTCGACAAACATGATGCACGCAAAGCGAAAAGGGGGGAACATACGAGAGGAGGTGAGATGAGACGCAACGAGGGCTTTATCAGTGGTTCTTTTTGTGTTTTTCTCTGTTTTTTTTTTTTTTTTTTTTGTGTTTCTTTTGTTTGGCAAAGAAACGACTAATCGTGGTGACACTCACGCCTTGGTGCCGTCGTAGGCCGAGTGGAGCGGATCCTACGTAATGACGGTGATGAGCCGATAAGTACCTATGTTTCATGACAGTGACACTTACGCCTTGGTTCCAGCACAGACGGAGCAGAGCGGTCCTGCTGACGAGACGAGAATTGCGTTGATCTTCCGTTTCGCGAGCTCCCTCGCGAAACCCTTACCGACACCGTCGGTGCATCCGGCAACAATCGCCTAGGAGCCGTAACAACAGAGGTTCTTCGCCGGGCGAAGGAAGAGGATCCAGATTCCGGTGGGAAATGAGAGCAACCCTGAGAAGAGCCGTAGTCGGCCAATCAACGCGAGGCCAATACAGCGCCCACCGCCATCCCCTCCTCGGCTGTGCACCTAATGACGGTGCGTGGCGCGCCCTGAACGCGCCTCCATCACACCTGTACCCCCCACAACCCCCCCCATCCCTGCACATCTGAATGATCTTGCTCATCCAATCTCTCGACCACAGCACAGCACCAGCGCCTGGGAAGCGCTGCAGAGCTCGGCAGGCTGCCTTGGTCTGAAAGGGTGTAGGGCAGCAAGGAGGGTCACTCACCAGAATGAGCTGCTGCATCCGGTCTCTTGGCTTGAGCACAGCACCAGCATGCGGGTACCGTTGCCACAAGCGTGGAAGGCTGCCGTGGTGACGAGGTCTCAGAGGGTGAGGGGCAGCCATCCCCGTTGGTGTCAAACGAGCGACAAATCGGAGGTGCCTCGCTGTGGAACCGAAGTGGTCATATGAGAGAGAATGGCATGGGGTGGGTGGTTTTGGGAGAACAGGCAGCCATAGATGCTGGAGGAATGAAACATGGGGCCCGTGTATTAGTGAAAGCAGGGGCGAAATGGGTCACGGGTGATTAGGGGAAACGAATGCATGAGGCATGGAGGAGAGGGAAGAGAGATGGGGCGAGACAGGGCGCAGGTGAGGTCGTGGCAGGGAGACGCAACAAGGGAGCAGTACAATCGTGTGCTGTCAATGATAGGTCCCAGGTTCAACAAACTGCCCTCGCCAGAGGTACTCCTCGCCAGAGGCACTCCTCGCCAGGAAGCCCTCTTCACCAGAAAGCCCTCATCCATCAACTTCCTCTCCCTCCTATTAACCCTTTGCTGTGCACGTCCAAGCCCCACTGCTCTCGATGCAACAAGCAGGAGCTGGACTAACAGGACCTGGACTGACAGGACCTGGACTAACAGGATCTGGACTAACAGGATCTGGACTAACAGGATCTGGACTAACAGGAGCCAGACTGCATCCTGCCAGCACTTTCCCAGCTGAATTATGGCACATCAGCATGCTAACCCCACGCTGACTCACCGTTGGCACGCCATTGGCACCGCAATGACGAGCTGCCCGTCACTGGAGTGCGCAAGTTGCAGCGAATCATCCCGCTGCCAGCCAGTCCCGCCAATGCGCCTTTCAAATCGGCATGCTTCGTGTGCGCCACACTGCTTTCTCTCCATGCCCCACCGATCTGCACTCCTCAACTCTCTCCTCATGCGCATTGCTGTCTCCATGGATTTGCATTGCCCTAACCGCCATTCCTTGCCCTTCTCCACTCCAAGTCCACCAGAGGACACCGGCGCCCACGCAATGAGTTTGGAGCCGCCTCAAAGGTCACTTCTGCGTCATCCTCAGCCCTGGGAATCGCTTCGTCGCTCCGTCGCTGCGAAACCTAAACCCTCGGCAGAAGGGGCGGTGATGGCCGTGAGTCGTGAGTGAGTCGTGCATTATCTATCAGCAGCCAGCCACTCTGCTCTGCGACGCCCTAAATCGACGTAAGTGCACCGGCTCTCCAGTCTAACACTCTATGCACACAACCAGCCTAAACCCTTAACGGCCACTCGGCGCCATGTCCTGCGCTGCGCCACTCGGTTCCGTTGACATTACCACCCACTCTCTGAGCCCAGGAGAAGCCCCTTCCCTTCCTTGCGCAAGCGGAACTCAAAGCCCCGCGCCTCATCTGCAGTCACTTGTCTGATTCGCCAGCCCAGGGAACGAACACGATAACGAGCTCTTCGCTAGGCCTGCCCTAATCAGCACCATCCCTGAGAAACGAACACCAGCCACATCGTCACGAACCCCGTCACCCGCGCCTTGGCTTCCGAGGTTCCCATGCAGGTTCAGCGTGCCGAGGGACGACCATGGTAACGCCCCTCCTCCCCTCCCCTCCCGAGAGAGCTCCTATGCGCCATCGGCAGGCCGAGGGAAGACCATGGTGATGCACGCCCCGCCCAACCCAGCCCCCTCCCATCCACTTGGGCTTTAATGGCGCCTAGAGTTCCTATGCGCCATCAGCAGGCCGAGGAACGAACATGATAATGCACGCCCCGCCCACCGCCACCGCCGCGCCCACTAGGTCCCACACATCGGGAGCCGTCCGATCGACGGCCCAGCCCCACAGCAGCGCGAGCAGGATGAAGATCCCGCCGTACGCTGCGTACGTGCGCGCGAAGGAAGCATCCTGGAACGTGGCGACGAGTCCGTAGCCGAAAAGGATCGCGGCACCGAGGAGGCACCACGCCCAATGCCAGCCGTTGATCCGCCACTGCCACACGAACCAGCCGCCGCCGATCTCGAGGAGGCCCGCCGCGACGAAGAGGGCGAGCGACTTGAGAACTGAGAGCGGCGTGTACTTCATGACGTAATGCTGACGGCGTGTGCTTACTGATGCCAGAAGGGATGCCAAAAGGGATGCCAAAAGAGAACCGCAGTTAGTGTGGATCAGGCCTCTCGATGTCCCTGAAGGGCCCCCTGCAGAATCCGAGTTTGTCGCGCAACCAACTCGTCCAAGCTGGGTAACCCAAAAAATGTTGACTGTTTTTGCAAGGCAGTTTCGGCGGTTTCCCGGCATGTGCAGGGTTTCAAGGTCCCGTTCACTTTCCCTTTCACCAATTTCATCTACAAGTGTTCAGATGTTATTATGTGCTAATAATAATAATAATTAAAACCCCAAACGATTGACTACAAGTGCAACCGCCACTTCACCAATTTATTGCCTACTACAAAAAATACCCTCAGCTCACAGTTACAAATGCCCCACTTATATGAAGCACAGAGGCGTGGTCCAGGAAAGCACGTTTTCCCCAACCAAACCTCTTTGGGGAAATGAGCTTGGCTGAGAGAGGCTTGGTTGGGGGAACGAGTTTGGCTGTGAGAGGCTTCATTGGGGGGAACGATTTTGGCTGAAAGGGGCTCGGTTGGGGGAAATGAGTTTTGTTCAGAGAGGCTTGGTTGGGGGAAATGAGTTTGGTTCAGAGAGTCTTGGTTGGGGGTAACGAGTTTGAGTTAGAGAGGCTTGGTTGGGAAAGCTGCTATCAAAATTTGAGAAGTGAAGAGTAGATAGGGTGAGAGTACACACAGATATACCTAAGTGTTGTACTCTCAAAGAGGCGACCCTATACAGTCTATACAAACATGACAAATACACATGTTTGACACACCCCCTAGACTGCATAGGGGAATGCCCTAAACAAACAGCTCAGGGCGGCACTACTAGTCCAACCTCTGAGACAAGGGTCTGAGAGACCAGTCAGAAGGAGTACAAACAAGGCAAGAACAAGAACAGGGCGGCACTACTAGTCCAGCCACTGAGAGGGGACACAAGTCCAGTCTGAGTATACGTATAAAGGACAGTACAAAGTCAAGGGCCTAGCAAGTGAGAGGCTACAGGAACTAGACCAAGCTGTACACAGTGCCGCTGATGATCTTTAGGCGCAAGCGCCTTCGTAAAGATATCAGCCGTGTTGGCACCTGAGGCCAAGTGTACTACGCGAGCCTCGCGTCGCTGCTGTAGCTCACGCAGGAGGAAGTACCGCAGCTGAATGTGCTTTGCTCTGCCCTCGAGTCGAGGCTCCTGACACAGGAGGATCATGGCCCTGTTGTCAGCGAACAGGACCGGGGCAGAGCTAGGCCGCTCACCTAAGTCGGTGAGCAAGAAGGTCAGCCAGCGGAGCTCCTGTGCCGCCATGGCACCAGCGTAGATCTCAGCCTCACAGCTGGACTGCGCAACAGACGAGGTGCGGGTAGCTCTCCACGAGACGGCACCTGAGCCAAGGCTGAAGCAGTAGCCCTGGGTAGACCTGAGTGTCTCAGCGTCGTCTGCCCACGAAGCGTCTGTGTGTCCAGTAAGGACCACTGGCCTGCGTCCTCCTAGCACTAACCCCATGCCTGATGTACTAGCAAGATAACGCAGAACCCTCTTAACGGCAGACCAGTGCTGCGGTCGGTGCCTGCCTGTGGCCACAAAGCGAGCCAGGATGCTGAGAGGGTATGCGAGATCTGGGCGAGTGCAAGTCATCAGGTACATGAGGCAACCCACCAGCTCTGCGTAGGGGCCGCTGGGCTCTACCAACTCCTCAGACACTGGAGCCGAGAGTCTGTGGTCTACAGGCAGAGGGGTGGGCTGTGCGGAGGAGAACTGAAGGCTGAACCTCTGAAGGACCTGGCGCACCAAGTGTGACTGAGTCAGGGTGATGGTGCGCGCAGCTCTGTCCCTGGAGATCTGCAAGCCAAGGGAACGGCGCAGTTCTCCAAGGTCAGTGCACGTGTGTCTCTTCAGCAGCTCTGCCTTCACGGAGGCCAGTGCGTCCCTGTCAGCTGTGGCAAAGACCAGGTCGTCGACGTAAACAAGGATGTAGAACGGAGTCTGGCCAGCACGAACGAAGAGTGAAGGGTCTGCGGAAGACGGAAAGAACTGCAGGTCAGCAAGCGTAGCACGGAGAGTGTCGTGCCACTCACGGGGAGCTTGGCGCAGGCCGTAGACGGGGCGCCGCAGGAGCCACTGGGTCCCAGGAGGGAAGGTGCCAGTGAAGCCCTGAGGGCGCCGCAGGTAGACCTGCTCGTGTAGGCTGCCCTGAAGGAAGGCAGTAGAGAAGTCGAGGGAGTGAAGCTCGTAGTCACGCTGAGCAGCTAGGTGTAACAGAACCCGAAGAGTAGTCATCTTCGGGGTCGGAGCGAAGGTCTGGAAGAAGTCCACCCCCTCGCACTGACTGAAGCCTCTAGCCACACAGCGCGCCTTGAACACAGGCGGCTCTCCAGGAGGGCGCTTCACCTTGAAGAGCCAGCGGCCATCGACTACGTTCACCCCAGGTGGGGGAACTGCGTCGACGAAGGTGCCGGTGGAGCTCCAAGATGCCATCTCCTGCTCCATGGCAGCTATCCACTGTGAGGCCCAGGGTCCCGAAGTCGCCTCAGCGTAAGTGCGAGGGGTCGGGATGTCGAAAGCGTCTGGGTCACCTTCAGGGACTAGCAGCATGGAACAGAGATGGGGAGCAGCCTCGGAGAGGAAAGCAAGCTCGAACTGGCGATCCTCCAGGACGTCACTGCCAAGGGCAGGAGCACCCCTGACAGACGGGGGACAGGCAGGGTCAGAGACTAGAGCGGAGGTGTAGTCAAGGCGGCGGGTAGAGGCAAAGTCAGCGACAGCAGCGACAAGAGCGTCAAAGCACGAGGTCGGAACAGACGTTTCACAGGATCGAATGTGTCGAGGAAAGGTTGCACTATCGATCAGTACAAGGCGCTTTTATACTTCCAGAGTACATCAGGTAACCAGGTTTATCTTATCCTAAGGGAATAGACCCTTCTAGAAGATAGAATCACCCTGCGTATAGCCACGTGAGGCTATTGGCTTTAAGGGATTACGGCAGGATTACGCTAGATAGAGCACACCAATACATCCCAAGCCTGGTCGGTGATATAATGATAATAGCAGGATAAACCAAAGGTAAATGGAAAAGGAAGAATAGGAAACCAAATGAGATGCGGTAAAACGAGAAATGAAAAGGGAAGGAAATAAGAAAAGGCCAAGTGGTGTAACGGGGTCGTACTCTCACACTTCCCCCCCTCAAAGCTGGGTGGTAGAAGTAACACCCTGCTTGACAAGGTAGTCATGCAGAGGACGACGGGCGTTACCCATGTCGGACTCAGGTATCCAGCTGTCCTCAGAAGGATCATAACCCTTCCAACGGATAAGAAGCTCCACGGTGCCATTCCGACGACGGCGGTGTGCGAGCACGGACTCGACCTCGTACCCGGGTTCGTTCTGGACGAGGACGGGCGGCGGCGGCGGCGGCTGGCGTCCCACGAAGATCGTGTTAGGATCTCGATAGGGCTTTAGAAGTTGGACATGGAAGGCGTTATGAATCTTCCAGGTAGCTGGCAGGCGTAAGCGGAAGGTAACAGGAGTGACCTGTGCTTCAACGAGAAAAGGCCCGCAGAAGCGAGGTCGAAGTTTAGATGGGAGATGGCTGATGTCCAGGTTGCGGGTGTCAAGGAGAACCTGGTCTCCCACGGAAATGGTGTGGTCGTTGCGATGGCGATCGGCTTGGCGCTTCTGTTGCTGTTGAATGTCGAGTAGGCGCTTGTGGGTCCGATCCCAAAGCTGGTGCATGGCTGTAATAAAATCATGTGCGGGTTGGACTGTAGCTGATGTTGTCGGTTTTTGTGGTGTGAGTGGGTGGCGTCCGTAGCAGAGGAAGAACGGCGTCTGTCCAGTAGCGGCATGTGTAGCATTGTTGTAAGCAAACTCGAGTACAGGCAGGTGCAAGTCCCATTTGGAGATGTCGTGCTTGCAGGCTGCTCGGAGGAGTTGCTCAACAATTTGGTTGAGGCGCTCGGTCTGTCCGTCTGTCTGCGGATGGTATGCGGATGACATGGCGAGTTTGGTGCCGAGCAGAGACATAAGTTCCTTCTAGAACTTGCTAGTGAATTTGGGGTCTCGGTCGGAGATGAGTGTAGTTGGGATGCCATGCTGTGAGATGATGTGACGAACGAAGAGCTGTGCTGTCTCCTCGGTGCGTGCCGTCGTGTGTGTCGGGATGAAGTGTCCCATTTTGGACAACTTGTCAATGACGACAAGGATGGCGTCATGACCGCTGGAGGTAGGTGGTAACCCGGTGATGAAGTCCAGGCTAACCACTTGCCATGGTTGTTCTGGGGCAGGAAGAGGCTGCAGTAGTCCCGCCTTTTTCTGCTTGCTGCTCTTCATCCGCTGACATGTATCACACGAGGTGACGAATTTCTGGACCTCTTCTGCTAAGTGGGGCCAGTAGTAGTGCTTTGCGATACCGGTCAGCGTCTTGTTGCTACCGAAGTGTCCGGCGTAGAGGACGTCGTGGTACTCTTCGAGTAGTAACTGGCGCAAAGGAGGGTAATTGGGTACCCAGATTTTTGTTGATCCTTTCCGGTACGCGATGTCACTGTCCCACTGTAGCAGATGTCGCTTTTCTGCCAAGGAAATTTCGGGGTCGATGGCGTACCCGTGTGTGAAGAGTCCCTTGAGTAGTGGATTCATCCCTTCGACCTGAATCGCGGCAACGTGTGCAGGCCGGCTGAGAGCGTCTGCTTTGTTCTTGTGGCCGGGCTTGTACACGATGTCGTAGTGGAAGTGTGTCTCGAGGAAGTCGATCCACCGGACCTGCCGCCTGGAAAGGTTGGGTTGTGTCTTCAAATATTTCAGGCTGCAGTGGTCGGTGTAGACGGTTGTTCTTCGTCCTTCGAGATAGCATCTCCACGCTTTGAAGGCGATGATGATAGCAAGAGCCTCTTTGTCGTGTATCGGGTAGTTGAGTTCTGCCCCGTGCAGTTTCTTGCTGAGGTAGGCAATTGGTTGCAGTCCATTCCCCTGGTCTTGCATTAAGACTGCTCCCACGGCCTGATCACTGGCGTCTGCTTCAATGACGTAGTCACGTTCGGTATCTGGCAAGATGAGTACCGATGCGGATGTCAGTGCTTGTTTCAGTTGCTCCACGGCTTCCTGGTGCTTCGTCTCCCATTTGTAGGGCGTGTTCTTCTTCAGCAGATTCGTGAGTGGTGCCGCGAGTTTCGCATACTGTGGCACGAACCTGTTGTAGTAATTAGCGAAGCCTAGGAACTGCTGCAACTCCTTCACGTTCTCGGGTGTCTTCCACGTACGTACGGCTTCGATTTTCTTGGGGTCGACGTGAACTCCTTGAGCGCTCACCATGTGTCCTAGGAATTGGACCTTTTCAAGGGCGAATTCGCTCTTGGACAGTTTGACGTAGAATCGTTCCCGTCGAAGAATTTCGAAGACGCGTCGCAGGTGTTCGACGTGCTGCTTCATGTCGCGCGAGTAGATGAGTATGTCATCCAGGTACACCACCACGCATTCGTCCAGAAGTGGTCGTAGAATGTGGTTCATTTCGGCTTGGAACGTTGCCGGCGCGTTGGTGAGTCCGAACGGCATGACCAAATACTCGTACGATCCGTACCGAGTTCGGAAAGCAGTTTTGTGGATAGAGTTGTCCGCCATCCGTATCTGCCAGTATCCGGACCGCAGATCCAGTTTGGAAAATACCGTAGCTCCCCGAAGCTGGTCAAGCAGGTCATCGATTCGCGGTATCGGATATTTATTCTTGATGGTCTGCTTGTTAAGAGCTCGGTAGTCGATGCACATGCGCAGGCTTCCGTCCGGTTTCGGTGTGAAGAGTACTGGGGCACCGTATGGCGAAGTAGATGGTCGGATGAGTCCTTTGGCTAGGAGATACTCGATCTGCTTCTTCATGTCGGTCAGCTCCGTAGGGCTGAGCCGGTATGGTGCTCGGAAGGTCGGCTTCGAACCCGGTTCCTCCACGATCTCGTGTTGATGCGTTCGGTATGGCGGTAGCTCGTTCGGAAGATCGTCAGGAAGAATGTCTTGGAACTCCTTCAGTAATTCCTTGATTTTTTCTGTAGTTTCCGAGGCTCTCTCCGTCATTCTCCACCTCTGTTGCTATCGCCAGGAACCCGGTGTCGGTCCGCTTCACGTCCTTCTCGAATCGTGCGAGTGTCTCCACTGGGATATCTCCAGTATCGTCCCAGTTGGGTAGCTGTACTCTCCGTCCATTGTTGTAGATGCTTGCGGTGCGGTTCACCCAGTTGATCTCGGGGTTGAATTTTTTCAGGAAGTCTCGCCCGAAGATCAAGTCAAGCCCTTTGATGTTGGTGATGGGGAGTGCAGGTCTCCAGCGCAGTGGTCCAATTTGTAGATGTAGCACTGCTTCAGCTTCTTGTAGACCCCCAGCTTCCTCTTGAGCTGCTTCAGCTCCACCGACGTCTTCCCTGGGGAGCGGGTAGTCGTTGTGGGCTGGTGTCGGGAGAGGACGTTGACTCCGTGGAAAGGTCGGCTTCTTTCCACACTCCTTAATTTGGTCCCCAAGTTGTCCGGTACCGGTATAATCTCCACAGCTGTCTGCTTCTTTTGGAGTCCCTCCCGTATTTTCTCCAAGGCTCTAGCCCCTCGAAAATCATAAGTTTTCATTAAAGCATCTTTATATGATAACTTTAACGAATTCTTATAATTTCTTGGGTCTTCAAGGAGTTTCCCTGTCTCGGCAGAGTCTTTTTTCGCGGAGTCGCATTTTTCCTCGGCGATTTTCCCTGGCGAAGACTGGTCGTGGGGTGGAGATTTTCCCCCATCATTTCCTCCTTCTCGCGTCGAATCAGCTTCGTCGAAGTTGATTTTCCCGGAATCCCGCGGCCGTTTCCGGATCTTTTTATTTTCGCCAGCTAGATCCGCAATCACTGGCGACTCCCGTTTTTTGTCTTCTGATTGGCCGAAAGATTTCCGCCACTGTTGCATGCCCGATACTCTGCGCGTGCGGCCTTCATGTTGTTGCAGTCGAAGATTCGGTGGCCCGGCACCCCGCAAAAATCACACGTGTAGTTGGTGTTTTTCGGACGTGGCCGCCCCTCGAATCTGTCGACTTCCATCGGGTCGGCGAACGTGGTGTGAGCCGAGCGGTCGCCCTGTCGCGTACTGCCGACGTGCGTCCGTCGTGTTCCGGCGTTGACCATGTCGAAGCGCTCCGCTGCCGAAACGACGTCACTGTAGCTCGCGTAGTTTGACGCTGCGACTTGTCGTTTGACTTCGGTCTTCAGCCCGGCGAGGTACGATTGTACTTTTTCCCCTTCGGTCAGGTCGGGAATGCGGTTATAAAATTCCTCCATCTGCTGCGTGTACTGCGCTACACTCCCGAACTGTCGGTGTCGATGAATTTTTTCCCGGGCAAGGAAACTCGAATTTATCGGTTCGAAGCGTTTCAGCAGGTCGACGCGGAACTGCTGCCATGTGGCTTCACCGTGGATGAAAGTACTGTTGCCGCCAATCCACTCGAGTGCCGGCCCTCGCATCAGTGTCGCCGCGAGTCGTACACGTTGACCGTCCCAGACTGGCGAGCTCCATCCGACGGCTGCGAAGTAGATCTCCATCCCGGCGATCCATCTGCGGGCGTCGGAGTTTCGATCGCTCGGATCGAACGGCTCAGGTGGGCGCGGTTTCGGAGCCTCGAGAAACTGCTGCGACTGCTGCGTCGTCGCCGTTGTCGTCTCGTGCTGCGCTCCGGCGAGTCGAGTTACTCGCTCGAACTGGTTTCGCCACGCTTCGCGATCCGCTCGCATTTCCTCCTGAAGGGCTGCGATGCGCGCGAAGAGCTGCTGGGTAACCTCGGCGTTGTCGAAGGTTGCCATCCTGTTCAAAACACGCACGGAGGGGGTAATTCGAAAATCGCGGAGCTGGTGCTTACCAGAATCGGCGTCGAATTGGTCGCCCCCGGCGGTTTTTCGAGGCAGGATCCCCGCTGCTGCTGCTTAGCTGAGCGTGGCCGAGTGAGAAAAGCTCTGATTACCAAGTGTCACAGGATCGAATGTGTCGAGGAAAGGTTGCACTATCGATCAGTACAAGGCGCTCTTATACTTCCAGAGTACATCAGGTAACCAGGCTTATCTTATCCTAAGGGAATAGACCCCTCTAGAAGATAGAATCACCCTGCGTATAGCCACGCGAGGCTATTGGCTTTAAGGGATTACGGCAGGATTACGCTAGATAGAGCACACCAATACATCCCAAGCCTGGTCGGTGATATAATGATAATAGCAGGATAAACCAAAGGTAAATGGAAAAGGAAGAATAGGAAACCAAATGAGATGCGGTAAAACGAGAAATGAAAAGGGAAGGAAATAAGAAAAGGCCAAGTGGTGTAACGGGGTCGTACTCTCACAAGACGGGTCGGTAACGAGAGAGGCAAGGACCCGAGGAACAAGGGGACGAGCGGCACGAAGGTAGTCAGACAGCGGGGGGGGTGCAACAACAAGAGAGGACGGAGGAGGCGACGGCAGAAGGGGAGGACGAGACGCATGGGAACGAAGCAACATAGGGTGGGAGCGCAAGACAGGCGAGGCAGGACGAGCGCGGGAGGGACGGTGAGACCAGACGTGCGACGGAGGAGTCGGGTCAGGAGACAGAGGAGGGGACACAGGAGGGGAACGAGGGGGGAGACGGCCCAGGGACGAGTCCGGCGGAGGGAAGACAGGGCCGTAGACAGGAAGAGGAGGAGACGGCCGGGGAGGAACCGACGCAGGGTCGGGGGACGGAAGGCCGAGCACGCGAAGGGCAGACACTGGCGGGGACTGCTACGGCGGCGGCACAACGGCGACACCGGGACTGCAAGCTGCTCCTCGGCTACCACCGGCACTCTCCACACCAGCACCCCCAGAGGGACCACCCCCAGGGCGACCGGGACGAGCACCCCCAGAGTCAGCGAATGGGTGCTGCGACGGCGGCGGCGGCGGCGGCGGCGGCAGCGACAACGACGGCTGCAGCGGCGGCAGAGGCGGTGGAGGGGGGGACCAGGGAGGGGACGCTAGGGGAGGGGCGGCCAGCGAGGACTGAACAGGAGGGCCACCAGAGTCAGAAGACTCCTCAACTGGGTCCACCGACGGAAGGGGGGTGACGTGGGACACACCAGAGGGGGCGGGACGGGGAGGAGGAGGAGGAGGGGCAGGGACTACCGGGGAAGGAGTGACCAGGAATAGGGGGGGGGTAACCGGGGGACCACGGTGGGGGAAGCGACGGTAGTAGGAGACGGACTCGTCAAAGGTGACGTCACGAGAGTGAAAGAAGCGGTGAGACGGCGGGTGGTAAAAGTGCCAGTCGGACGCGTCAAGGGGAAAGCTGAGGAAGACGCAGGGAAGGGTGCGGGCAGTGATCTTGTCCGTGCCGGAGGCACGGACGTGAGCAAGGCAGCCCCAGACGTGGAACGCAGACGCGTCACCAGGAGACCCAGTCGAAAGACGAGTCGGCGAAACCTGCGGCTGCTGAGGGTGCGGCCACAAGTTAAGCTGGTGAGAAGCGTAGCGCACAGCGAACGGCCACAGAAAATGGGGTGCACCGGCATGGATCATGGAGGTGCGAGCCACCTCCATGACCAAACCGATGCCTCGCTCAGCGACCCCATTCTGCTGTGGGGAGTCCGGTAGGGTGAACGTCTGGGTGATGCCCTCCGCACAACAAAAGCGACCAAGGACACCTGAGGCAAACTCGCCACCACGGTCGGAGTGAAGACGCAAGACAGGGAGACCGCGGTGGACACGTGCAGAGACAAGCCAGGGGATGAGAGCGCCAGGCACGTCGGCCTTGCGCTCCAGGGGAAAAACTGTGGTGTAACGAGTGAAGTCGTCGACAAGCACAAGGAAGTAGCGCTCTCGACGCGGCCCAGGGACGGGGGCGGGGCCCCAGACGTCCAGGTGCAGGGTCTGCAGCGGCGCGGCGGTAGGGGGAAACGAGGAGGAGTGCGGGGCACGGCGAAGCCGACCCTCAACACAAGGCGTGCAAGGTGGGGCTGGGGAGGAGGGAAACGCGGGGAGGGAACCTGGGAGACCAAGGACAAGACCGTGCTGGGACATGTGACGCAGACGCGGGAGCGCAGGGTGACCTAAGCGGTGGTGCCAAAGGAGAGTCGGGTGAGTGAGGGACCGACAGGAGCAGGCAGCAGCAACCTGGGTAGACGCAGCCACCTGAGGAGGCGCCCCAGCCGGGGGGGTCACGGTGTCCAGAGTGAACAGGCCGGACACCGGGTCCCGGGGGAACGTGGACAGGGGGGCACCAGTGGCGGCCTCGGTACAGACAACATACCGCTCGTGACCAGGGAACGTAGTGGTGACGCCAAGGTCCTGGAGGCAGCCGACACCAACTAGGTTCCTGGAGAACGAGGGGATATGCAGACCTGTCAGAGAGCCCGAAGGAACCGCCGGACAGGGAAGGGTGGTGGAACTGCGGGCGACGACCGGACCGCCGGAGGGGTCAGCAAGAGAGACGGCAGCTGGGACAGGAAGCGGCGTCAGGGTGGTAGAGTCGCGGAAGAAACACCGAGAAGCGCCAGAGTCCAAGGTGAAGGAAAGCGAAGCAGAGGCGTCTGGCAACGGAACGACGGCGGAAGCACCAAGACTACACAAAGCAGGGGATCCTACGCCTGACGCAGCAGGGGAGGATAAGCTAGGCACACCTACACTAGGCAACAGTGAGTAATAAGCGGGAAGCACACTAGAGTCATCAGCATACATCACATGCAGAGCAGCAACAATGGCATCCATGTCCATATAAAAAATCTGAACCTTACGACTAAGCAAACTGTGCCAGTCCGGGAGGTCTGGCGACGGGCCGAAGCGCTGACGAAAGAGGTCGTCCAGGCGACGAAAACAGCGGGGAGTGGAGTGACCGAGCCTAACGCAAACGAAACCGCGGCGAGGACCGGTCTGGATCTGGTACTGACAACGCCCGCCACCAGAGCCACCACTCGGCACACCACCACGCGTCCGGCCACCGCCAGCGCCGGGCCACCCGGGCGGGAGGACACTCGTCTGCCGCGTCTGCGACGGCTGCTGCGGCTGCTGGGAAGGCTGCGACTGCGGTGGCTGCTGCGGCTGCTGCAACTGCAGGGGCGGCGGC